CAAGCCGGCCACCATGCCGGAATAGCAGCACCTCGCCAAGTTACAATGCCAGCAGCGTCGAGCCAGCGTCGCAGCGTCAAGCCAGCGTCGAAGTCAATGCGTGAAGTCAGCATCAACGCAAGACACAATGAATCTCACAGCCAGGAAGTCAACTCTTATGTAGTGTTGACGCGGGGTCTGGACCCCGGGTGCTGTATTCCTGGGCCGTCCAGATCTCAAAGCGAATGAGGGCTCAGATCGGCCTGAAACCGAATTCCCTCCGGCCTGGATGCTGTCTGGGTACCTGCACACAACAAGTGAGTGTATCCAACCCAGGGCCTGGGTGCAGTACCTACAGTTGACTTTGACTCTTGAATTTCCTGTGTGGAGCGTTCGGTCACACAGCCACACTCGACAGACTCAGACCTGGGCGTGTCTTGGTCACACAGCCCAGCGCAAACCTTCTCAGGTCTGCGTGGTCTGGGGCTGAGTTCTGGGCCCCAGGCTACTTCTGAACAGGGTTATTACAGATGGAGCAAAAGGGTTTTTGAAAAAAAAAAAAAAAAAAAAAAAAGGAGTGATAGTCTGCTTTGACTTTCGTCACAGGTACCTTGAGGGCAGTGGTTGGTGCCCACCTCAGGGTATCAGTTCGCGGGCAGTCGTTGATGCTGGGTTAAGGTGGATTTTCACTTACAGTGTAATCAGTTAGGGGATTCTGCAGACTGTTGGGGGTTCAGGCACCTGATGAGTCGGTGAAACTCCGACGAAACAGTTTGTCACAGCCCCTCTTCTGTTCTCCTCTTCTCCCTCTCTGCCTACGGTTTACCGGGCAGCTCTGTTTGGCGATATATAGTCAAACAGAGCTATATTTCAAACCATAACGGGATGGAGGGCAGAAGGCAACTTACCTAAGACAGAAGACTACTCCCGCAAGAAGGCACCGACCCGACCCCCTCAAAGGTCCGAAAAAACTTGGAGAGCCTTCCGGATCGTCCCTCAAAACCAAAAACTCATTTATCAAAAACAAACAAATATAACAGCATTGGCATTCCCGACATTCATCTCAAACTACACACTCGCGTCACTGCCAAAGAGGAGAAAGAAGCTAAGAGACAACTTACCTAAGACAGAAGACTCCTCCAGCAAGAACACACTGACCCCCCCTCCCCCTGCTAAGGGTGCGAAAAAACTGGGAAAGCCTTCCACGCCGGCTCGCAAAACATACATTCCCCCCAAAGGGGACTCGTGGCCACCCGTAAACATCCAAACAGCCCATGCTCTAAAGCAGGGCAAAGAATTAGGCCGTGTATAATCAACAAAACCGACAAGACATATCCAACCACAAAAAGAGAGAATAGCTCGCTAGTACGAGCCCGATCCTAGCTGCTCAAATCTGCCAAGACAGAGAACTAGCAAGACCAGAATGTGTGCGTGTATGTGTGTGTGTGTGTGTGTGTGTGTGTGTGTGTGTGTGTGTGTGTGTGTGTTGCCATCCCTGGGAAGCCCTCACATATGGAAGAGAAGAAAAAGGGGAAAAAAGGAAAGCGAAGCAAAGTGGCGCCACAAACAGACAATTGGGGGCTGATGCAAAATAGACAGCTACTGGCAGCTGCTCACACTTGTACTTTCGCACACAACAAATCTGGCTGTGTTTGCAGTCATGTGCATCTCAGAAACTGGCAGAGGGTCATATATAGCCCTCACAGACCCTGTGAAAGAAGACTTGCTCTCTCTTCTTTAACCACACTGCACACCACTACAGTTCAGCAACCAAACAAGCAAATGCTGCCCTGCGACAAATCGATCTTGCCGTCCAATTCATCCCCC